TTTTAGGTCTTGTAATTTTGACAATTCAGTGAGAAGCTTAAAAACTGATGTTCAAGGTAGTGCTGCTGCCTAGAAGTGTCTCTCAGGCTACAAAGGAGTAGGACAGAAATGCCAGTGGAGGAAAAATACCTTAGAAATAAAATGTGGTTACTTAGTATTTAAACCAACTACATCTATAAGCAGCAGTGTAACATCTTTCAATTCTATGTGAATAATCAGGAGAAAAAAATGGTGACTATTTCTTTCAATTTGACTGCCTGTTATAAGTTAAGAGCTGTGGAACATTGCTGGACATTATCCATGGTGTTGTTGAGCCACTTGCATGTCTGATAAGTCACTCTGGCAGAAATGCTACTTGATGTGCTTGCTATTTATGTACTTGAAGCTTCTAGACTGTGCACATCTACACTGTATGATTTCGGATTTAGGTTTGGGTGTTTGTTCTTTAGATAAATACCTGTTATGGATCCCAAGGCCTCAGCTTTCTATTTTATGCAAACACAAACTCACTCTCATTAACTAATGAGGAGGGCTGAATTAGCATTGCTGTGCTGATTCTGTTCAGCTCCAGGTCACCCGATTCATCTTGCTTCCTCATAGCCCAGGCTGTTCAATGCTCCTGCTCCCTCACAGGGCTCTGAGCTCAGCAGCTCTACTCACGGCCAGGGCCCTACAAAAGCATTCGTATTGCCAGCAGTACCTGTTTGCATCTTTCTGCTTTGAATTTGAAGCACTAAGGCTCACAGACGAGGTGTAGAAGAATTGCTGTATCTAGGAACACCAACACTGTTTTATTTTCATGTGATGTTGCTTAGGTTAAAGGAAAAAGTCCTGTGACTCTTTCATGTGGTGAATGATTTTTCCCTGAAGGTAGTTTTCTTTTTAATTTTTTATCATACCCATGGTTATATGGGCTTTCAGCAGGATGGCATGGCTGTTTCCTTACCTTCATGCAGAGCACATGCACTAAGCCAGTTATTGCCCTACGCAACAAAAGTGAGTGTACTTATTTTTACACTCTACAAATAAAACCATTCAAAAAAAATAAAACCAGACTATTGGGTCTGGTTGTTTAAGTTGAAATCATTCATGAATACTTGCAAGGCTGACACTTAGATATTTATTGAGTGGGCTGAAACAGAGGTTTGCTAGCATATAAAATAGCACTTATGGAATGATGGCACACAATCTCTGCCTCCACTTGAGCAGACAAGTTGAAGAGGTAAGCAAAAGCCTGAGAGACAGAATAATCCTGGCTTTGTAAAAATTATACTGACCTTGGCAATGGTTGTATAGTGTCATCATCTCACACAGGACCCTTTGCTGGCTGGGGCAGGGGATGAATGGGAACAGGACAGAGCCTGGGTAGTTTTCTCTTCAGAAGGTCTGTGAACAAGTGCAGAGCTATGGCAGGTCTGGGTGATAAATAGAAAACTACCAAAATATTTGTGTTTTCTTTTTCCTCCAAGACTGACCTTGCCTTTCCATAATAATTTCTGAAGGACGCTGTTGGCTTAGTAGATGAACTTCTTGTTCTCTCTTAAAGCCTTTCCAGCCCTTTGCTGGGAAGAGGGGATGAGAACTGAGAGGAGGCTGTGGTTCATTTGAGGTGCCCTCAATGGGCACTTACAATTAACAACTGAATGCATCAGTTGCTTTAAATAGCCTGACTACAGTCATTCATAAGAATAACAAAAGGCGGCAGACTGATTACCATTTGGTGGAGTTTGAATGTTGAACTTTTTCAGATTTATGGGGGTGAGTTAGGAAGTCTTTCTCTCTCCCACACACACATCTGTTTACACGTTGGGGATGGCTATTTAGGAAGAATGACACGAGATTTGGCCTGGACTGCTCAGTCCAGTAAGCTTTTGACTGTTTTAACTGCTGTTATTTGTAACTGAATTATCAAAGTGAAAGGAGCAGAAAGCAGCAGTGGTCTGGGTTTGGGCACTCGCTGTTGTCCCTTTCTAGGGTAAAATCAGTTTGAAGGAGCTGGCCCATATTTACAGCTGCTGAGCTGTGGGGGACATCACTGAAAAGAGTACAGTGAACAGAAATCTCAATTTTAAATAACTTCATACAAGACAGAAATGCTTAATTCAGTGGGAGAATGTGGATAACAAACTTGTCCTATCCACTTGCATTGCAGCTGGTGGATTAGATGGACTTCATGTGTCACTAAATATTCACGTATGAGTGGTGATGGTCTGAAATCTGAATCCTGCCCAAAATGTATACTATCTCTAAGGACTGTCTACAAATCTGAATTAAGTAGGAAATGCAGATAGGTACTTGGGGCATGTACTTGTTTACAAATCAACCTCAACACAAATAAATGAATAAATGTTAAAAATTAGGTTCTGATGCAAGAGCTCCTTTTAACAAGGTCTGTGAACAATTCGGGGGACTAAGTCGCTATGTTTCTTGCAATGAAAATGTTCATGAACTGAGGCATTTATTTTTTGAGCATGACCATTTATTTCAAATGCATGGATTAAAAAAGGTTTAGGGAAGCAGAAGGTGTGGATTTAAATGCAGAATATAGGAATTGCTACTGTGAAATCTATAATTCAATCTTGGTTTATCATCCTAAGCAAAAGATGGATTTCTGGTAATGGATTGTCAGTTTTAAACTACACTGTATCTTTTTGTAATAAGCACAAGTAGATTCGTGTCAACTCAGCATACAATTTTTTCTACATAAATGTTTTTCCTTATCATATTCTGTGCTTGTACCTGTAAATTTTAACAAGAGACCACATTTTGTGAGAATGTTTGCTCACCTCACCCATTATGAGTGGAGAAACACTGGAAGTAAAATGCTTTTGCAATTAAAATTGTCCACTTTCAGTTGAAATATTCCTTATTTATGCAGGGCAAAAGCTTATCATAATTTATGCAGTGATTTCTTCTTCTGTACCTGAAAACAGGCTTTGCAAGTCAGAGGTTATAACCCTGGAAAAAGAAGCCAGTAATTACACCTGCCAGCATTTCCCTCTGGCCACTGGTACAATTGCCTATCAAGGATAATTGACAACTAGCTAATAGGATAAGCTTTTGATTGTTTGGGTTGTTTTTGTGTGTTTTCCCCCGCTTAGCAAGGGGAAGTCTATTTAAACCGGTGGTGCTCTATCAGGCTCCATCAACACATCTTTATGCGCTCATAGGCACATAAAGACAGTACTTTAAGCAAGCTGAAAGGGACAAGCCTTTTCAAGGAGCCAGGAGAGAGGGAGAAACAAATGCCTTTCATCTTGTCTTTGACACTAAAATTCCCAAACCTCTCTCTGCTCTAGTGAAAGCTGCCCTCAAAGGAGCAGGCAGCCATATGTCCTCCACCTGAGCCGGATGGTGAGCAACAGGTCTTCTCAGGGGCCAGCAGCTCAACAAGCCACAGCTATGGGGTTTTCCTTCCAGGTGGCAACAGCAGCAGTTGTATTCTGTACAATGACGCAGTGGTGAGACAAGGTGAGGGCTCCTAACTACTGCCTTGCTCTGAGAAGCATAGACTGTACCCTGACAGCTCAGGGATGAAGGGCAGTATCCATCATCTTCTTTTCCATGGCAGTAGTCTGTTCACAGCTTGTTCAGAGCAAGCAGCACTCGCCACTTGCAGCTGTCACAGCAGAGGCTGCAGGTCCTGAGGCCAGAAAAAGGGAGAAAATCGGAGAGAGGATAACTCGGAGCTCAGCGCACTTACTGGCATGTGGGTTTCAGGATAGCCAGCTCCAGCATCACTAACCAGGTTTACAGTTTTCATCCCATTGCTGGCTGGTGATACACTCTGATGTCTTAGGTCCTCATCAGACAGAGAGGAAAGGGAACATGGAGCTTGCACTTTCTAGGGGTGAGCAAACTGTAAAATACATCAGATGAATGCCAATTTCTCTGCATTTCAGTCAGCATCTGAAGATGAAATTGGACCCAAAATTGCAAATGAAAGGGAGTGTTTCTAAGAGAACAGCATGAGTTCAGCCTGTGGTTAGTGTTTGCTGATGGCTGAGTCTAAACCCACCCATCTAAACCCACTTGATCAACCTCTGGAATTTTTGTCCCCGTATTTTGCAAATGCTTGATTACCTTCGTGCACTCCTAGAGTTTACCTCTGGCAGCGGGCACTGCAGTGCAGGTCCCTACATCCTTCATCTACTCCCAGCTGCATTTATTTGAGTGGAGCAATGGTCTCAGAGTCTACTTCAGGGCACTCCTAAGTGGTACATTTCTCCTGTGCCTATTCCCTGGTGATTACAGTTTTGTTCCATTGTAAATCTTTCCTACGCAGCTAGATGTCTGTATCTGAAGGTACGTTTAAATATCTGAAGGGATATTATTAACTCATATTATTTGTATTTAAATACACAAACCCATTAACCCAAATTACCTGCTGGTTTCCTGCTGAATTTACTTTTCAGAGCAAATCCCACTACCTTCGAAAGAGCACAAAAATAGGGCTCTAAATAGCTTCTGTTAAAAAGATTGAATAAGGATGTTTTAAACTCTTTAAACCAACTGCACGCTGCCAGCTTACCTATTGTGTCTTTAATTTAAAAGGAATGCTAAAATGAGTGCAAACATGAAAATTATGGCTCTGCTTGGAATACTAATCCACAATATTTGCATGTTTCTGACATTTTAAAATTCCCCAGACTCTCATGCCTCCAAGTTCCTTTTATGGCACTTGTGAGGATATTCCTTAGTTACAAGTAAGAAACGAAAGCTAGGAGGGTCTCACCTGGGCTACTCTGTGTGACTTTGAGAGCCTCATGTAATTTTGGGATTCATCAGATTAAAATCAGTACTTCCTCTCTTAATATTAAGGGAAGCTGTATGAGTCATTATTCCATCAGGAATGACATAGTATTTTCTTTAATCATTCTCCTTCTATGTCCTGATTTGTATCACCAGTAAAGGGGACATTTCTTCTGCATCCAGTTCCTAAAACTGGAAAGACAAACATGGTTCTTTCAGATTTGGATATCATCACCCATTGTTGATACTTTACCACTGAGATTTAATTCCCAGCCCTAACAATGACACACAAACAAGGAAAAAGTGCATTCCTCTCTTCTTAAAAGGGCACTGGGGAGCTGAGGAGTCAACGTGAGCACACCCTCATGCCATTCATTAGGTGACTGATGTGGTTTGGAGTTGTGAAGATGAAGACAAGCCAGGATTTGGCTGTAGCTATGTTCAGCTCTTCATAAAATGCCTGAATAATATTGTCTGCAGACTATAAGGTAAGAATTTTCAGAATAATCTGGGACTTGTGTTTAAGGCTAGATTCTCCAGTTTCTTCTGACTTAGGTGATTGTTGGCTACTGTGCTGTTCCCTATTTATCACAGAAAGCATATAATTTGACGGAGTTTAGTGTAGACAGAGCCTGTCTAAAAATTAGTGCCTCCAAAACTACCTCTTGAAATATCTTAGGCACCTGCAAAAAAATAATCCTTTTGGATTGTTAATATCCACTTCCCACATCCCACATCTGGTGTGTAGGTAGGCAAGGACCTTGGCTCTGTGTAGATTGCTAAGCCTCACTCTAAGGTAGAGGTCATAAATCTGCGCAACTGGTTTTCTTAGTTTACCCATTTCCATGTTTGTGCTATTTCCACTGCAGAACAGCCAAGGACTAGAATGTCTGCTGTCTGAAAAGACATTTTACTGCACCTTACCTTCATCATCTTCTCCACTACTAGAAGCATGTGACTATAAGCAATTAACATTTTGATGCACTTCACCACACAATTGCTAGCCTTTATTTTCTTGCCATTAAAATCGTTGGCTCCATTTATACATGGCTTGGGTGTTTTTTAATCTGGTCCTTCCTATTTATATTGTAATGGGATCCATTCAATTAACACTGTGTTAGGTGGAAGGGAATATCAGTTATTAAGTAACCTATTTATCACGGCTGAACACAGAGGGGTGGTGTTTCTTGCTCTCTCAGAGACAGAAATTTTGGAATGTGATGTTGTTAGGACTTAATTTTGTGAACAATCCAGGTAATTGCTGAACCTCACTTAGCTGTTGGTGTGGGTAGTCTCTGTGGTAGGATACTTGAGTCCAAAAGAGACCGCTTGGCTTTGTTTTTTTTGGGGGTGTGGGGGGGTGGTGTGAGGTTTTGTGTTGTTTCGGGGTTGTTTTTGCTGGTGTTTTTTTTTGTTTGTTTTCTTTCTAATTATTTTTTTTGTTTTGGGTTTTTGTTTAATTATTTTTTCCCTTTCATTGAATCAACCTTGTTTTGTATAACAGAAGAAGCATAGAGAATATGTGTTTGAATTCTGCAGGACTTCATTGTGAGTAAATGAATAGCATGAAAGAATAGAGCAGAAACCAGTGAACCTGAGGTAGACTTGAACTTTCTGGACTTCTTTTGTTGTGGATTTCTTTTCATTACCATGGAAGGAATCTCACTGTTAGTGTATGACCCTGCAGCCATAATACACACCCTGAATAGGCTCCCTCACAGCATTTGAGTGGAATCAGACCTTTGTTAACACTGTAATCAACACATTCATAGAATTTGACAAGGAAAAGGAATCTGCCTTCCCAAGAGTGAAGGAAATGCAGGAGAGGAGTGTCAGCCCTGGGAGATGCCTAGTGCTGGGGCACTATTATTCAGGGAGTTATCAAGACTCTTTCACCATTGTCACCCGCTAGGTCTTCTTCTGCTGTCCCTGAACTGTTCTTTCCTTTCCAGTCAGTTAAAAAAGGGTGAGAATCATGGCAAATGGCCTATTTTCACCTTTCCGTAGTTCTCCATTGCACAGCAAACAAACCTGGGGGCTCATATTTTGAAGTAATGCAATAGATAGGAACAAATTTTCCCTGACTGAAATTTTGTTTCAAAACATGATATGGTTTGTGTAGAAATTATTATATTTTCCCTGAGAAAAAAAAGAAATCAACACACAGAAGGAAACTGCTTGTATAACATATAGTGCAAAATATCTGGTTTTCAAAAGTCCTTTTTAAGGCAATCTTGAGGCATAATTTGGAAAACTGTCCCATTCAGACCAATTACTCAACTGGTGTGCATTTCAAGAGGAAAACACATAAAAATGGTTCTTCTTTGTTAATCGTGATAAAACCTGAAGAGGTCATTAGCTGATTTTCAGTTTTGCCATAAAATAGGAGAGCCACAGTCACATGGTCTTGAATTTTTTGGTTGGAATATTTTATTGCCAGAGCAGGGCGGGGGGAGCTAAACAGCCTGTTCAATTAAAATCAATGGAAATTTTCCCAGTGACTTCAATGAAACCTAGCATGGGCACGAGATCTGTGAAGATGACTGGAAGTGGTCCATGGAGAATTTTAAGGCAGGCAGCTTTGAACTGAGTATGGAATCAACAGGAAAGCAGTTTAAGTGTCTGCCAGTGTGGCTGCGATAAGCAAACATGCAAACACTTCCTCTGATAGCACTGGAATTAGCTACAATTAAGTATGATTTTGATGAGGAACACATTGGATTTCCATTTCATCACCGCAAGAAGCATTTGTATAAAATGACAGCTGCAGCTAACTGTTTATGAGTCTCTGCAGACTCCTCCTGAAGTTGGGGAGCTAGTTCACTTGTGTGTACAAAGCCAGTGGAAAAGCCAAGCTTCCAAGAACAGGAAGAAACTGGGACACGCTAGAGCAAAGCCCAGTAGAACACAGCGCTGTCTTGAAGTTCAGAGCATGCTTTTCTGCCCTAGTTCGCATGAGGGAGCCCTGAGGTTATACAGATGTCTCCACCCCACCAGCCCTGTATGGCCCATCTGCAATACTTGTTTTCATAAAACTTGGTGAAGGCTTTAGAAAACTAGAACACCCTAAACAGAGGCATTTGATTTTATCAGCTCTGCTTTTCCATGTATCCTTTCCCCCCCTCTATTACTATGAAAGTAGAAGAAGGCAGGTCAGGAGAGCAGTTCCTTAGCTACAGGCTGGGAATTTTTTGCCAAAAATGAGATTAATGAGAACAATGAGCATCTGAAAAATAAGGGAGTGTCAAAACCTCTGTGAGAAACAGGAGGAAGAAATGTGGAGGGTTGCAGACTGAAGCATGGCAATGTCCCAAGCTATTACCTGTCTTGGGTGGATCCTGTTTGTAGGGCAATCCCTGACCCCACTGATGTCTGTTTTACTGTTATTTTCAGAAGTATGATCTGATTCATTTAACGGGCAAATCAAAGATTTGACTGAAACAGGTCAGTAGTAGATGCTGAAGCATTTCTGTGCACTATAAAGGTGCATGATAAATATGGTACTAAAAGAACGAGATTTGCATATTTCTTTTCTCTGTGGCTTTGTTTCTTTTCTCTCTTTTATCTATTATTTTGGTATAGGTGGGATGCTGGTTTGCCTCACTGATTTAAAAACTGCTCTGTTTGCATGTTTCTGCCTATGCAGTGCTTAACTTTGGGGATAGTATGGATCCCTTAAGGAATTCCCTAAAAAGCAACCTTAATTAATGTTACCAGCTGTATGGAAATGCGTCTGCCCCTGGCAATGTAGGGGAATGATGCTGAATGGTGACAACATTGTCCCCCTCTTGAGCATAACTCTTGATCTTCTCTATTTCAGCACATGGAGGTGCTGAGCCTGTGTCATAATGTAGCTAAATTGCAATGCATTTTCTCACCCACATAATTATATCTGTACAAACCATTTTCTCAGTAATTGTATTTTCGGAAAAGGCAAAGAAGTACATGCACTTAATAATGGCTCTAGACAAAAAGTACAGCGAACATCAAAGGTGTCCTGATTTTTAGGAAGTCTTACAGAAAGTGACAGAGACATGGCATTTGCAGTTAGAAGTTAAGATAAATGAAAGCAGTTTAAATATATAGTTATGAATATGTCCAGGACTAGCTATATATTGTTAGTGGCAGGATGGTTTATCAGCATAGGTGAGTAATAGCAAAGGAGGCTTGCCTAGCTGCTCTAACTGATTTCTGCCCTCAAGGTGCTTGTCAGAAAATATTGTCAGCTGGTGGACTTTGCAATGACAGGATTTGTCTTCATTTCCCCAAATAATGTGCCTGGCGGGGGGGCTCATGTGTGTGTGTGTTAAAACAGGATAGAGAGTATTCTATTTTGTCTCACAAATGGTAGTTTGGTTTGTTGCTTTGTGGTGGTGTTTGTTTGTTGGCTTTGTGGGGAAGAAGATTGCAACAAAATTGATGTTTTCTATGTCCAGACCAAGCCTCTAGATATCAGGTCCTTTAGGTTGAGCTATGACCATGCAGCAGTCGAGTTTAGGTTTGAATGAGCCTGCTGATGCCAGGTGATCTCTTGATATCCTGTGGCTATTCACTCTGCTACTGAGACAAACTTGTGCACACGTGGTGATGCTTTTATTCACAGGCAGCTTCTTGTTGAGAATATTTGCTGTTTCTACCTCCTTTCCCTTCTTTTTAGTTTTTGGGTTTTTTTTTGCCTTTCCTACCCAAGGTAGTGTCTTTGCCTTTGCTTCTGTTGTGTTGTGGAGGTGGGCTTTGCTGACACTGTTAATTAAACAAGGATTGATGCAGACTTCCCTCACCATTAGGCTGTATGCTTTTATGTGTGGGCAATTTGTGTTTTTATTTTAGCATTCTGTCTTGTAGGAGTTTACATGAACTATAATTCTGTGTACCACACAATTAAAAGTCCCAAGGAAGTCAGAGATTGGGTATGTCATACATACATGTGGACACATGTCAGCCTGTATATTCTACTGGCAAATGTTTTCATATGGACAAAGTTATTCTTTAGTAGAACTAACTTAATTTGGGCAGCTAAAGCTACCTAAACTGAAGTTTTTTGCTGCGATGAGCTATGTCTGTGCTAGGAAGGTGTTTTAGGATGGTTTTGCAGTTTAGACAGCTTTTACATAGACATGATGAGTTAATACAATCACCAGAATTTTATGCATTCATGCACATGATTTAATCTACAATTTATGGTCTGATCCCACTTCTGTCACAGCTACAGAGCGTGAGAAACCTTTTGTTTCTACCTTTGGCGAGTGTAGGACTTGCTCAATGCCTCCCTTTTGTAACTCACCAGTGTGAAAACCACTGGGGAAAGTTTCATCTGTAAATAGGTGGAAAGCAATGTGGTCACTGCACAGTAGACTCTCAGCAGTGGCTTTTAGTTCACCTCTGCAGGAAGGAAGAAAACCAAATCCCCATGCTCTGTACAGATTGTCTGCAGAGCTACAGTGTTTTCATGAGTTATTGCAAAGCTCTTATAATGCAAGAGAGTCGT